ATAATAACAACATATTTAACAAAAATTAATAGTAACTTAACCCTAGATTCTTATTTCTGGATAAAGTGATGGACTCTTCTCTAGCTATAAAGGTTAATTTATTGATTGCCTTATTTATTCATGAAGCTAATAGATGCCAAGAAGCTTTGTGATTGCGCTGAGACTGACTGCTACAGGCATAGTTTACAGCTTATTTGTATTCTCCTTGAATTCCTTTTATTATTTAATAGATACAGCTCACTTTAGAGTGATAACCTCCTTTTTCCATTATTAAATTTGGAAACTTGGTATGGAGTTGATAGTCAACTGAGAAACTGGGTTTCTTGGCATTTGATTTAATTTATGAATTAGTCCTTGGTATTAGAGTAGGGAAGGTATTTTCATCTTCTCAGGAACTTGAGCAGTCTTCTTTACTTTCGTATCTCTTTTCTAAATGCAACTCTGATTATATGTATGCATGTTTCTTTTAATCATTTTGCGTTGCAACTTAGAGGGTACTGCCATGATATGCATAGTGATGTGTATTCTCACTCTTTTCTCTCTTACATGTCTGTTCGTTTTGGGGACGTAAATGTAAATATTATAGTATCGTTTCGTTATAAAACACAATGTAGTCCTCCCTTGGATTGACCCCAAATTTGTTTTGTAGTTAGTGCTTTTTGAGATGATTCGTGGCTTTATAAGCTAGGTTAAAATTTTCACTAGAGTTATTTCCCTCCTGTTAATCTGTTATCAAAATCATCATATCCTGTCATATCAATATTTTCCATATCCATATGTGTGGTAGATTTTAAGTTTACTATACAGTCACTCCAGAATTAGAATGTGCTGTTAGCATGTCAGTGTAATTTATCCTAGATATTTGGTGTAAAATTTATTTTTGCATTCAAATCACTATCTTTCTAGTATTGTGTTCTCTCATGGCTTCGTACTTTTGAAGTGTTAATAATGGTTCAATTTTTACATCAAAACTTACCTGGTATGGATTCTACAGTGTTGGTCCCAGCATGGTAACGCAGCCACCTCCACCTTACTACCCGAGCTCTGGTCTGGAGAACAAGGCTCTTGAACACTCACTGGATCTCGCCCTCGATGATGCCACCAAGGGACACCACGTATATGCTGCGCAAAATGGCTATGGTTACCATGGAGCTCTACCTGGCCATCAGCATCATGGACCACCTCCGACACATGGAATAAATGGTGGGGAATGTGAGTTAATTAGATTTTATTTTTTTTCAATGAAAAGCAATTCTATGAAATGTGAGCTCCCTCATATAATACAATTAATAATAAATTTTTATCACCTTGAGCTCCATTCATTTCAACTAGTTTTTGCTGGCACATAATTTGTCAGAGTTAGAGATGTGTACCTTCACATTAAAAGTAAACTGGGATGAAGTATATTCTTGTTTGCTCCATAATGAGGATAGTAATATTGCATAAATTTTTTCTAGCAGAGCAAGGACAAACTCTGGGTATGTTTGGTATAGCTCTTCTTGTTTGATGTATAGCAAGCATGCTGTTTAAACTTTAATGATCTATTGTTTTTTGTAGTAGATTGTTAATGTACAAATTTATTAGAGTATAGATGTATGTGCATTAAGTTCTCCAGATAGGTACTTCGGTAATATGTATGGTGCTTTTAATGCATAATTGCTTAATACATTATAGTAAGATTGAATTTATAGAATTCTGACAAACTGTGCCAATAGAAACTTGAATGCAGTACTAAAGTGTGTCATACAGTTGCATATAATCACAAAAAGGATTTCTATATTGTTGAGGGCTTCCACATTTAGCTCTAAATTATTATCATAGTGGGTCTCCTCTGATCCAGTCTGTGTGTTCCATTTGAGAACTCACTGTGTGGATGTAGTATATTACTTTTATGCTTTGATTAATGTGAATTGCTGTTTCAGTCTTTTAATTTTATAATCTATAGGCTTGGTTCGGTGTGTATTCTAGTCTAATCTTATCTATTTTTAATTTTGTTGTAGGGGTGAATATGGGCTACATGGAGAATAGTTATTCCAATTCCAACAACGGTGGCTCTGTGAACTCCCAAGACTCTCTTTGGCAAATGAAGATGGCTGCTGCAGCTAGCAACAATGGCAGTCAAACTGGTATACCAAGTGTCAATGACCCCCAGAGTCAATTCCAGCACTCGCACCCAAATCTTCATACACATGGCTCAACTTATGGATATGATCCTATGTCACATGGTGGCTATGGAGCTGTTGATGACTATGCAGCTTATCCACAACAACCTGGCGATCTGGATTACGCCCATCATTTAAATCAAGGACGAAACAGTGCAAACCCATCGAGACAAGAGTACGCTCCTTCTGGCGATCCCTATGCAGCAGTACAGAAACCAAGAAGGAGAATGGACCAACATATAGGTCAGTAAAGTGTAATGTTGATTTAAGCTTCAACATGGACTTAATTCCAAATTTTAATGTAAAATATCTTTATTCTTTTCAGATTCACCATACCATGATGTGAGTGGTCTACCTGATCCTTATATGGACCAGATGGAATCAGATGAAAAACAACCATCTCATTTGGGGATGCCATATGACGAAAGCCTCGAAAGTGGGTACTCTACTCCTAACTCAAGAAATAGAAGAGTTATACGTGAAATAATTGTTTGAGGGTGGGACTCGCGCCATACGCATGGCGCGACCTTTCAAACTCATCCCCCTCCAAACTGGCAAATATGAGTCAGTTGTCCTCTACCTCACCACTCTGTAAGGAGCATAGAACTAAATACTTTAGACTTACATCAAATGAAAGCTCTGAAGTGGGAAGGGGAAATGTTCTAAGTCAAACCAAAAACTTGTGTCAGTGTTTAAAGGCGTTGACTGCAAGTCACTGCTACAGTTACACAAACCAAAACAACTGTGCAACGAACTGAGAGTTGTGTCCGTGTGTGAATGTGACTGAATTTTTGTGTGTATGTGCATGACCATGTTATGAATGACAAAATTGTTGACGACGTGAACTTCTAGGTTTTTAAATCAAGAAGATTTTAGTCATTGTTAAAATTTTTTGTTAAGTGGCATAGAATACTCATGGGTATTGTCCTTTCCATGGTGCTGTGTAGATGGTTTTCAAGAAGACACAAGACTGAATTACAGTCTGAAGTGTATAAAAGGTTTTCAATTCCCCTATGCCTAGTCATTACTTATTGACAGGTATGGCATTATGTTTTGTGTGGGATTTCACTTATGGTTGCAATACATGCACTTTTGAATTGACTGACTAATAAAAGAACGAATGGCAAAATAGTTACGGCACATATTAAGGGACGATTAAGTGTGATATTTTTCCATTTTCTCTTGTCATTAATGTGTGTCTACAACACAGTCCCATCAGTACTGTAAATAGTTACGTTACAAGCAACAGTTTGTATAATGTTAGGTACATTTTAGTCTGACTGTTCTTTCAAGCAGCCAATTTGAAGTTAAACCAAACAAATCTTCAGGAAGTATAATGTCCCTTTACAGATCTTGTTTCTGTTAGAAATTTTTTCAAACCTCACTCACTCAGAGTCATTGATTAATATTATCAGATTGGTATACTAATTAAGATAGTATTTTTCCATTAGTGTTTGCTATTTCACTAATCACTGAGCTAGTAGAGGTTTACCATACATTTTTTATTAAATCACATTGTCAATTTTATGCAAAGTTTTGGCTATTGTACCATTTTTAATTTTTTTTGTGTGTGCTTTGAATTGAGACAAGATCTGTGACGATCATGTAAGCAAACTGATTTCTTGTTGGTAAAGTTTATCTTGAAAGGCAAGGGATTTTTGTTGAATCATGACAATCGACTTATTCACTAAGCGGCAGTGTTTTTTTGTTTTTTATGTGTGCCTTTTTTTTCTTGTTTCTTTTTATTTCAATCTTAACCTCCATCTCCTAGGAATTTATTAGTGCTAAGTCTTGTGCCTTGTGATTCAACATAAGTCCTGGAAATTTAGTCAACCTTCTTAATTGCTAAGGAATTATAAGTTTTCATGTGATTTGAATTTGACTGTGCTTACTACTCGACAGATCAGATGACATACTTGTCAGCCTATTTTTATCCATGCAGTATTGCTTCACCAATGTTCATATATAATTTAATGTAACAGACCACCGTTCTTTGTTTTGTTAAAAAAAATTACAAGTCACCTCACTTCAGGAGGCGCATAGGTTTATCTTTTCACACATTTTATAAAATTTAAAATTTTTAATCTTACCAAAGTGATTCCTGGTTCTACATGAACCAATGCCATTTATGTGATGATTGCTCACATCACTTAAATAATCTAAAACTTTTGAATTTTTGGGTTTTGTTCTAAATTCTTATGTTATCATTTGCTAAATTGCATATTCTGATATGCATTTACATTTCCCTGTCACAAAACTATTTATAAAACTATCAAGTGATAATATTTAGAGTAATTGGTGTGTGTTAAGGTAATCCTTTGGACATTGTAGCCTCTTTTGAGGAACAAGCTCCCAATAATTATCATCAGTGCCAAATGATACCTTGTTATTTTAAGCTGTGTAAAATTGGTACTTGTCTTGATGTGTATTCTAATAGCTATTTGCTGCCGTTTCAGTTTTGATGTGCCATTCTGAAAATAATTTTAGTTTAATTCATACATCTTTGGTACACACCCTACTTAATTATTGGCTCCTCACCTTTTGGGTCTTTCTCTTATGAAATACATGCTGATTGTGGTGTACACCAGGAATAGAAAAGGACCAAACATCCACATAAACAGCTTGTGTTTCTTTTCTTTTTGTATTTTTATACAAAAATGTTATTTTTTTAATTCTCTTTTTTCTTCTTTTCCATGTGGAATGCTCAAACTGTGTATATTGTGTGATTTTTAAACTTGTAATTTAGCTGGTGTACATACAGATGCTTGTATAAATGTGTCATACCTAGTTATCTCTCTAAGTAAATACCTACTCAGTGAGGAATTTAATGTTGAATCAATCTGAAGTCAAAATTATGTATGTTGCTTTATGTATGACATGACCTATTGAATCAATATTATCAATCAAATGTTCAATATTGGATTTCTCACTAGGCTGATGTAGCTTGATACAAACACCAACAGGGTGGTCAAAAATATACTATCTCAGAGTTGCAGTAGGGTTTGAATTTTTCAGTGTAATATTTTTAGACATAGCAGCATATATTCAAACTCTATTGCAACTCTCTTAGTAAAGTCCATCCTCTTTAAACATTAGTACAGCTTTTTCATGGATTGTCACATGACAGTCTGCTAAGCCTCATCTGCAATGCAATGCTGCTTGTGCCTGTGCTAGTGCAGTATCAAGCTTAATCGTTTAGGAACAACCATCCGTCTTTCATTGTTTTGATGTTGACCATTTCATTTTGTTCTTACATATATTTTAATCTTTATGCCTTCCCATTTCTTCCTTCGCTCCCTCGCCCATGTTTTATGTGTTTCAGTTTCTGATAACCAAAAAATCACTGTTGTTAATTTTATTTTTAGTTTCCGTGTATAGGTGTAAATTAGAAGAGAAAAGTTGGTTTCTTTTAGATGTGTTATATTTTTTCAAATACATTATTTTGCTAGAAGCAAAGAGCAAAGTATTTACGTTCATGATCTCATTTGTTTACAGTTTTGTTAGTAAATTTTAACTAATACAGATTTATTGTTCATGTTCATTGAGTTGTTTGAAATGTAGGTATTGTGTTTGTACATATCCCTCATGCTTCGTCTGATCATTTTATTACGATCAAAAGTGCAAATGAATAACAAAGTTTTTAATGTGACCATGACTAGTTTAAAGAATGTGTTATTATTTGTTGTTGCTTGCATTTTCTCAATATTTACAGCATTGCAAAGTAAATTATAATTTGATTTTAGATACATTTTTGTATGTTGTCTGTGAGAGCTGTACTTAATGATGACTCTGTGCATTTGTGATTGTAATGTTAAATGTAATTTTGATGATTGAGTGACTAAGAAAAGTGTCAAGCTCACACACGCTATGTAAATATAATTTAAAAACTCAATCACAAATACCTGTACAAATGACTTTGTTGGATTTTATAATGTGAAATAAATTGTGTATCATATGACAGAAAAAAGAATCATCTTCATTACGCAGTAGACCTCAAACAATGCCTTCTCATACAAAAATAATCAAAAGTGGAAGCAGTACACCATATTTGTTAGCGAAATTCGTACCTGGGTTGGTCTATCCGATGTATAAGTTGGAAATTAAGATGAGTGGAGACATGTCCCAGTCCCACATTCAGAGGCCTCACCTCTTTGGGAATTCCCCAGTCAACAGAAAAAGATCAAAGTTTTGTCATTTGACATTAACACATTCCTTGGTTCTTTTGGAGGCGTGACTACTTAGTTGTGACGCCGCACCCACCCAGCCAGAAATGCTCCATCTAGAGGACGTCTAGAGTGTGTCTAAGGTCTATACTCGGACCATTTAGACGTCTACGTAGACGTCCTCTAGATGGAGCATTTCTGGCTGGCCAGGGACCTGCTGGGGAACTCGCAGGAAACGGCCCGAGTGAGGCGTGACCACGCGATTGGGGAGCTCCCTGTGAGCTCACGCACTTTGCCTTCTATACGCTGAAAATAAGGTGAGGTGGAGGTGGAAACGTTCTGAGAACGTTCCGCGAGTGACCTCACCTAGAGCTCTCCAATGGCACTCCTGGAGAACTCGCAGGAGACAGCCCTAATAGTGGGGTGTGACCACGCTTGACCATAGGGAGCCGGGAAACTCGCGTGACCACGCGTGACCACGGGGTATCGGGGAACTCGCAGGGAACGACACGGAGTGGGGCGTGACCACGGGATGACGATGTCGAGGTGAGGCGTGACCACGCGTGACCACACTTGGTCAGGATACTCGACGAGGACGTCGTCGATTCGGGGGTTGTTATTCTGCGACCACGCGTGCCTATAGCCCATATCCATGGGACAGGCTGGACAAGTTTGTGTACGGCATGTGTCGCCCAGTGTCGTCCATGGGACTGTGCTGAAACCCACTGTGTGAGGTGCGACAACCGCTGGTCAACATGCTATTTGCATGGGCTGGTCCCTGAGTAGCGGCCTGACCACTATGTGGTCACGACAACACCTAGAACAATTTTTTTTAAGCCAAAATTTAACTTTGACTGCATTTTTATCAGTCAGCGACAGCGTAGACGATCATGTCCCCCGCACGCAGTGGGGGTACTTTGAAGTTACACCACGTAACATCAGACATCTGGATCCGCCTCTACTCCGCGCTCGATTTACCTCCTTTATCTCTCAGAGCCTGCAACGCGCCGCGCATGTGGCATCAGAGCGGTCTGCTAGCTTATTGTATATATTTTTGCCGGGGGACCCGCAGTTAACGGTTCTAAATCCTGACAAATGCTTTAGAAAATTGCAAACATGAAAATCCTTACGAATGAAAAGAATCCGGCTGTGCTGAAGCTTTTGGTTTCAGCGAGCATCGCAAAAACCAAAGTTTCCTGCGAAACCGTGTCTCTTGGTGGTAAGTGTCAGTGCCACTCTTGGAAAATTCTTTAGCGCTAGGATGTCTTCGATTTTTATCATCATTCGATGGTTAATTATTGTACCGTATTTTCATTGATAGTTTGTTTCTTTTCATTTTACCACCTTCGAATTTTCTGTAAATAGATTCGCTTTAGTAAATGAGGTTATGTTTCTATTTGGCAATTTTCGTCTGCTTGTCGGACACATTTTTTTCTTTTATGTGTTGTGTATATAAATTCAAGATAAAAATAATAGGCATGTTCTACCTGTGCTTTTTAATTTTCAGATAAAAAGCCATGTGTATCTCACTCTCTTCCAATATTGATGCTTGACTCGGGCCTGGTGTTGTCATCGGTAAACCAAGCTGCTCGATTAATCTTTCCTCCAAGTAATCCCATTGAAGGGGAAGTGGATCAATGGCTGGAATGGGAGTCAGCTCAACTTCAGGTAGTCATATTAATTTAAAAGATCTCTCTCAAATAACCCAATGTTAAATTTTGCTCGTGAAATTTCACTATTATTTATTTTTCACGACTTGCAGCCTGCTGTTATCTACTGCATTTCTAATCCAGGGAAGAAAAATGACCGTCTTAAAGCTCTTTTAACTTCTTTGGATGTAGTTATTGGAAAAAGTGAAACACTTGTCAAGGTAAAAAATCTCTTAAATTTGGATCATTGTTTGATTGCTACTTTTTACAAATGCTAGACATAATTGCAGGGTGGAATTTCTGTCGCTGATGTATGTGTGTGGAGCACTTTATATCCTGTAGCAGCTGACCCAAAATTAAGTAGTGAGTGGATTGCTGATTGTCAGAATGTCAAAGCATGGTGGTCCAAATTGGAGTGTAGTTCTTCTTTCCAGGTAATACTGCTTTAATGTGAGGTGCCTTACAAACAGAGAAAAAGAAACACTGTTTAATTTTGAAAATTTTATTTCTGGGCTCTTTATTTTTATATTAGACGGAAGTCAAGAAGTCAGGGGCACTACCAGGAAGTCAGGGTGTACAAATTCTTTCCAGTTCTTCTTGGAATGCTGTTGTTCTTCAACAAGGAACCAGTTTTGCAAATGCAACTCCTGTTGAATCAACACCAATCGCCACAGGAAAGAAACAAAAGTTGAAACTTCAAGGAGGGAAGTCTGTTTCAGTTATAGAAAATGGATTAGAGCAACTTAGCATTTCAGTAAGTTCTTTCAAATTCATTTACCCAGTCAATAACACTTAACAATTGGCTAATAAACCCTAACTTTCTAAGCATGCTTCCTATAATGGAGACATAAATGAGGTACAGTAATGGTATTGTAATACTATGTGTACAATGGCATCATATTTTAGCACTTGGAAGTCTTTTCATTTCTTTCCAACCAATTTTATCTATCTAAATAAAACCTATCAATATTTATAG